GAACTCTCAGCATTGTTCTTAATTCAAACCAAAGCCTTTGTCTTGCAGTATTCCTCTCTTGTCCTCAAAGGATAAGGCCTATATGCCCCAAAAAAATCCCTCAAATCTGAAATTAAAGGTTCATTTTGACCCTGAGTTTTTATCTCCTCTCACTCCTCCCAGACCTTTTTCCTTCTTTTCTGGAGTTGCCAGGAACTCATCTAGGAAATGAGTTTTTCACAAGTCTCTGCCTGCTGGATCCCTGCTGGCTGCTCAGCCTCCCCCTTGCCACGTTTCTCCCCGCTCTGATTTGACTCTTGCTAAACCCGCCAAGTTTCACTTCTGCTGCTGCCAGCACAAACCAGGCCATGGAGAAGCCGGCAGGTTGCAGCCCGGCCGGAGGGCTTTTCCTTCTGCTGAGCTGGATTTTATCCCCGCTCGGGACAAACCCCCGGCCGTGGCAGCTCCCGTGGGAAGCGGAGGCCGCTTCAGCGCTTGGCCGCAGGAACTGGCCTCTTTCCGTCCTGCCGCCCCGTTCCCCTTCCTCACAAGCCCCGTGCTGCGCTCGGCGGCGTCCGGCCTTCGGGAACGTCCGTTTTCCCGTCCTGGCCGCCGTGGGCTGCCGCGCCGCTGCCAAGGGCTCCCTTGGAGAAGCTGGGACGTCACGTGTGGGAATGTGAGGCAGAGCCCTGCCAGCTGCAGCCGGGGCGCTGGGCCAGCCTCGGCGGTGGGATGAGCACGGACACGTTGGAGGAAGCCGCTGTCTAAGCTTGCTGAGCCACAGCTTTCCCTTCATGTGTCCCGAGCGGAGCAGCCCGTACGCCTTTCCCACCCCCAGCTCCCTGTGGACAAGGGCCTGATTTCCAGGAATGCGCAGAGCCACCACAGCCAGGCTCAGCCAGACGCTGCTGAACTCTGCGCCTTAGCGAAAACTTGGAAGATCTCCCACTTTCCTACGCTTTCCATGGAGCTGCCCCAAATTCTCAGCCAGTGACGGGACGGCACCAGCCTGTGGGGGGACTGGTTTGCTCGCTGCTGTTCCACAGCAGGTGCATCCGTGTGGACGCAGGAGATACCTGCTCTTGAGTTCCCCACCACTGCTTGTCTCCTCTGCAACATGTGTCTGGGCCCATTCCAATGGACGTTTCATTTCCACCCTTCAAATTGCAGCCACCCACCAGGACACGAGACCTGCCGGAGTCATTGTTGGTTGGCTGTGAAGCACCCGCTCTCGAAACTGCCCCTGAACACCCTTCCCCGGGTTCTCTCCCCCAAAAGGAGGGTCCCACACTGAGTCCAGGCCAGGGGGGAAGCTGGGGCAGTGAGGAGCACTCGCTCCAAGCTGGTGACTCCCCATTTAGTGCCCCAGTTGTATGGGTTCCAGCTGATGTTTAAAAGTAAGGTTGTGGCCACCACGCAGTCCCTAGCTATACCTTTCATTTCTCCTCCTCCACATCAGCCTCTTTGTGCACTGAAAGCTCTGGAGCAAGGAGGAGAAAGGAGCTGGTTCCTTGACCTTCGTGCCTCTCTTCGCTTTTTTTTTTTTGGCTTTTTCAGTTGTAAATTCCAAAATATGTAGTTGGTTTGGCAAGGGTCCCGAGAGCAAAACTGCTCCCGTTATCCCAGCCCAGCCCATGCCTGCCCTGGGGTCAGGGAGGCTGCAGTGCCTTGGTCGTCCTGCGCATCCGGCAGGCGTGAGCATGAGGGCAGCACTGGGTTTTGCTCCTCCATTTCTGGGCATCTTTAACAGATGCACCGCAGGAGAACACCTGACAGTCAGCAGGTTTGGTGCTTTTTAAAAATGGTGTTTTAGTAAGAGAGTGGCACTAAAGTGTGAAATACATCCCCACCTGCCTGGCGACTGAGAGCAGCTTGTGGCATAACACGAGGAGACGCAGAGGAAGGCGTTTGTGGGATGAGTGATGGGGCTAAACGGAGGCTTTGGGAGATGAGAAAACAGCATTTATTTCCCAGGGAGCACAAAGAGCAGCTCAGTATTCACAGAGGACTTGCAGTGTGAGGCAAGGAGTATTTATACCCTGTGTATTTGTTGGATTTTCACTGTTGATCCCACGTGTAAGTGATGTGTTTTATGTGAGCTTTTCTGCCAAACTGGCTTGTCATCACCCCTGTGAGAGGAGAAATAGCTCATGGAGAAGTGTGAATGGAACAGAGAGGTCAGCAGAAATACTGACCCAGAGAAATAGCTATTGGTACTACTCACTTTGCTAAAATCCCTCACGGAAACCACTTGTCTTAGCCCCCAGGCCCTGTTTATAGGGCCCTTAACTCAGAGGGCCGTGTGACCTTGTTGGGTCGGTCCAACCTCACACTGGTACATGCAGGTTTATCTTCCTCCATCCACCCAGCAAGGAGACCAGGGGCTGTGCTCTGGCCACAGGTTTTGTGTGGCGCAGTGCAATGACTTTGTCCCATCTTTCTGGGTAAAAATCAGGGCTCTTTAGGGACCCTTCATTGTTGTCCCCCCTGGGGGGCCTGGAGCAGGATGGAGGGAACTGCAGGGTGAATTAGAGGGGACTTTCCTGTGCCACGTCATCCCTGCCTGGGAAGCTGCCAAGCGTCAGATGGGGAAATCCTGACTTCTTGTTTAGGCAAAATTGTTTATTTTTGCTCATTCTGATGGCTTTTCTCAGTTGGAGCATTCTGCACTTGGCTGGTCATAGGGAGAGAGTGAGAGGAAAAGGGTAGAGAAAGCGTCAGGTGGGAAAGCCCCTTCTTTTTGTTCAGCAGTGCAAGTCACCTGGGCAAAGGCAGAGCCGTTGGTGACAAGTGCCTTGGGAGAGGACAAAAGCACCATAGATGTTGCTGGCCATGTCTCCCCAGTCCTGCTGGCTCCATGACCAGGGGTGTCTCAATCACATCACACCTCGCTGTGGATGGGCACACTACATCCTGCCCTACCTAAGCTGTGGCCAGTATCTGCACTGCTGTCATGGCTTGAGCTGGGGTCAGATACTCAAGCCAGCCAGTTTTCCAGAGGAGTAATCCCATCTTCAGGCTTTACCATGCTGGGAAGCTTTTGTTGATGTTTGGCCATTAATTCAGATATGCCTGTGTCTGCTTCAACTCAATGATGTTCATATAACCTAACCTAAGTCAGTGCAAGCTCAACGGCACTGGATTGGAAGCACAGTCAAGCCAGGAATTACAATTTTTGCTTCTGAGGGCAGCCAAAGCTTCGGTCAGGTTACTGATGGGTGGTGGGTGGTCTCCTTGCCACGATGGATTTCCATCTAGCCTCATGAGGGACGTCTATCTGCATGAGATGTGGTGTCCCCCCATAGCAGTCACACCCAACCTTATCATCCAGGTTACGTCCCTGTCCTGGGAAAGACCATGGCACTTGGGGGCTAAGCGAGCAGGAAACCATTCAGGGCCCACAATATCAGCCAGGCCTTGTGCCGTGGTTCCGGGATGTGGGAGCCCAAGTGTTGCTCCAATCTGCAGCAAGCAGGAGACAGACCAGCTACGAGAGGGGAGGTCTGCACAGATGCCTACTCCTCTGAACATGCACCACCAAAACCCATGTGCACCACTGCTACTGTGGCTCAGCTGGGCACAAGAAATTGGCTGGAGGTTGTTCAATTCCTAAGGGGAATTCCTGTGCAGAGGAAAGCCAAGCAGTTCCTCTGCTACTGGATCAGGAACTCCATTGCAGCAGATATGTATATACATATATATACATATGTATATGTAAGAAATTTATATACATTAGAATACTCCCTGGCAGGCTTTTCCTAGAAGTGTTATCAACAGGATGTGCTTTGAATAAGTGACAGCTGGGCAGGAGGTCCCCAGATAAGGTCTGTTCTTCACAGCGTCATTGTGCCAAGCTCAGTCTGTGCGGCCGAGTCCCCGGGGTTCTGCTTGCTCCTGGGACTGCTGCCCGGAGACCTCCTTGCCAGCAAGACAGGTAGGAGTTACGACATGAACCCAACCATCAGGATCTTCCCCTGCTCCCTCCTGGCATCTTGGAGAGCTCACGCTCCCTTTTCTAGGTGGGGAACAAAATTTTTGACTTAGTTGGAGCCAACTGCTTGGGACAGGTGGAGGAGAAGGCCAGATGTCTAGCTCATCTTTGCTGGCAAAATAGAATGTGCCCACAGCTCTGGATTGGGTTTAAAAAGCAGATTTTATACAGCAAGTTTTTGGCTAGAAGATTTTTTTTTTTTTTTAACGATGAATATGTATCCAGACTTCACTGGATACCATTCCCTTCTGCTCGTGACTTTGGCTAAGTCACTTCCTCCTTCTGGGAGTCTTTTTCTTCCTTGTTTACCCTCTTTCCACCTCCTTCCTTCAGGGGCAGGCTGCTCGGGGACTCTCTCTTCCCCAGGCCTCAGGAAAGCGTTCAGCACCAGGGTGCCTTGATCTCGCATTGGTGACACCAGTGATGAGTGCAGGTAACTGGAGGATATAGCTCACCTGGTCTGTGAACAAGCAGGGTGGGTGAGCTTCCCATGGGAGCTGTGGGGGGAGGAAAATTAAAAAAAAAAAAAAAAAAGGAAAAAAAAAAAAGAAAAAGCAAAAGCCTCGGC